ACTCAGATCGGAAAATACGCAGTCAATTTTCATTGGTTTTATCAAACGCGGGCCGGTTGTTTACCGTTATATCCGTGTCACGGATAAAACGTCTGAGACGAATTCAATTCGTCTGAATTAAACTCGACGATAGTAAATGATTTAATTCGTAATTTAAAAGCCATGTTATAGACAAGGCAATTTCTGCCCATTCAATTCGCAACGAATTTCTGATACAGCATCATTACGCATTTCAAATTCAATTTGTGTTCATATGAGAAACGATGGCGCCCGGCTTCGTGAGATCTCATTTTGTTCTAGGTGGCTTCTCAGTTCAAGTGGCATACAATTTTCCATATGAAGGCTCTATCCCACCTCACCAGGATGGACATTTTTTACCGATTTTGATCTACCGTAAACCTCCGACTATAAGCCATGGGCTTATATTATTTCGTGAGCGATTTTTGATGGGCTTATACAAGGGTGTTCTTATATACGGGGGGCGTATACATCGACGATCTTTTGTGTTTGTGTAATAGTTATAAACAAGTGTTAAGCATAGTAAAAATAGTGATCAATAGTGGTAATAGTGATAAACAATAGTGATAAACAAGTGGGCTTATATTCGGGTGGGCTTATATTCGGGGCTTATATTTGGAATGAGGTGAGCGTTAGTACAAGTGGTGGACTTATACACGGGGAGGGGGCTTATATTCGTATAATATTGTGTTGAACGGCGAAAATCGTGCGCAAACAAAAAATGTTAATAGTCCTAAACAGATGCTATTTTAAAGCCTCAGCACGCGTGCGCTTCGCAGGGTAATCGTAAAGGTCCATACAGACCGAACGCGGTTCGACAACGCGACGCGAATTTTCAGTTTTTAAAAAGAATAAAAACCGTTAACGACGGATAAAAATTTTACAAGATATGCAGATCAAATAGCTAAAATTGCTTAAGTGATTCCGAATATTTGAAAAACATTGAAAAATATTGAAGCTAAATGTCATTGAAAATTGAAAATTCGCGTCGCGTTGTCAAATCGCGTCCGGTCTGTATGGGCCTTAAGTTTGGTCTTTCATTTCGCCGCACATGTCATGGTTAATAGAAATATAATTATCTTTTTATTGACTATATGTACACACTGAGTACTTTGTCACGCCTCCGTGAGCAGATGGTTCATCTATATGATTGCTCTTTAAAACGCAATTCTGCTTGTTCAATTGCTCTCTTTAGAACTAGTTTTGCCGTGGAGAAGGTAAATTATTGACTTGCAACAGCAGAAACACCCTTTAAATCATAAATAGATTTAAAATAGATTTAATTGATTCTAATTATTGCAATCTGTAGTTTCTGAACTTTGGTCTAGATATGAATATTTTATAATTTCTATATAATTTGCCTTGGACATCTGTGCACCGAGAAGCCTATGTTACTTGTGTAAGCTTTCGATAAACTTTGATAGAAATACATATTACCATTAATAACTCGGCTAATTCTTGTCAAAAAGGCCAAAGCCAAAGCTGGCACAAAGGGTGTTTCTGCTATTTCAAGGCAATAATTTACATTCTCCTCGGTAAAACTAGTTTTAAAGAGAGCAATTGAACAAGCATAATTGCGTTTTTAAAGCCATCATATATAGATATAGATGAACCACCTGTCATGGATTTTCTTTCACATTTAGGACTGCATGGGATTTGGCTTTAGGATAGCTGAGGCCGGTTGTATAAAAAGTTAACTATAGAACGTTAGTGGAAACGTCATCCAATAAGAAGCGCGTATATTTGAGAGTTAAAGGGATACGGCAATATATTTTTTATTTTTTTATTTGGAAGAACTTTTAAATTATATGTTAATCTCTTTTACCGATCAGCGACTTTCAGCGAGTTTCCCGCCATCTTGGATTACGGCGGATATGCATGTGACATCATAAGCAGGGTAACGCAAGAATTTTATCCATAGAGCAATTGGTTATTATGAGTCTAAAATCATATACTTCAGTAACTATTTGAAATAAAAAACGGTCTGACGACTTTTCAAACAAAACTTAATGTTATTTGGTCATTTAGATGTAGTTTTATATGGCTGACCCTGCGTATGACGTCACTAAAATCACCAATAATGAGATAAAAATTAATCCAAGATGGCGGACAGCAAATTATTTTAAGTCAAAATATTTCAAGAAATAATAAAGTTACCCAAAATCGGTAAAGGAGATTAACATATAATTTTAAAAGTTCTTTAAAATGAAATAATAAAACAATATATTCCCGTGTCCCTTTAATGACTATTTAATTTTAATTAAGGCGACCAAAGACTACTACCATATTCCAGCTTGGGTCGTACAAGAGCACAATATATATTTTTTTCTAGTTTGTATATTTTTTTTTTTTTTTTTTTTTAAATTTTCCCCATGTACAATAAATTTATGTGTAGTATATTTACAATAATTGTAGAGTGCGGGCTAGAGACCTACTAGAAATCTTAGTAGACTTTTTATTTAGGTCTCTAGTTATGCTAGTTTGTATTGTGCTATGTAATAAATTATTTACAGTCAATCACAATATTAAAGGAATATATATATATTTACAAGAGAGAAAAAGAAGAGAAATTGTTCTTATTATAGAAGTGAATATTTACAAGAGAGAAAAAGAAGAGAAATTGTTCTTATTATAGAAGTGAATACCAATGTTGAAGATACATTTGGGTTCTTATAAGAATTAGACTACAATGTACTATTAAATTTGTCATATAGCAGAATGTTTTATAGCATATCTTATACATTGTATAGTAAAAAATATTGTTTAATTTGCTTTTTGAAGGTGCTGTAGAAATTTATATCTATAAATTTTGTTTCTAATGAATTCCATACGTCAACTCCTTTATTTGAGAGAGTGTGTTCTACATAATTTGTTCTTTTATAACATTTGTGAAGTTTTGATGCATTTCTCGTGTTATATTGATGAATTTGGTTGTTTGTCACAAAATAATCTTTAAAAAATTCTGGTAAATTATTAAGATGGTGGTATCGAAACATAAATAAAGCAGTTAAATAGTCGTTGATTTTGAAGATGTTGAGGATATTTAAATCTTTGAAAATTGGTTCACTGTGATCAAAGTAAGATTTGAATGCCATTAAACGCACTATTTTTTTTTGTATATTCATTATTTTTTGAATTCTGTTTTTGTAAGTATTACCCCATGTTAGGTTGCCGTAAATCAAGTATGGATAGACTAATGCATAGTATATCAGTTTTACAGTATTTCGGTTCACGAAATGTCGTATTTTAGCTATTATACCAGCAGCTCTAATTAATTTCTTTGCTACCTTAGCTATATGATCTTTCCAGGTCAAACATTCGTCAATGACAATACCAATACCATATCTTGCAGATCACGGAAAATCCTTTTCATTAGCCCAAGGGTCATGTTAGCTTTAACAACAATTTTCTCAATATGATCTGACCAGGATAAATTGTGAGATATAGTAATCCCGAGGTCGACAAATGAAGGCACACACTCAATCAGTTGATCACCAAGACTGCATGTAATTTCTATTCATTTCCCGAGTTGACTTCTTTGAAAAATGCGATACTTTGCATTTCCGCGAATTGAAAAAGGCGTTAAGACGTTTCGACCAGTGACTTAGGTCTTCGTCAGTTAAAAAGTTGACTAGGTTCAAAACTGAACAATATGTAAAGGTTCAGAGTTGATTAGCAGAATATAAGTGTTTTATACACATTCGGTATCTCGACATGGTCGTTTCCTGCGTTATGATCCTTGGCGATAGTTCTTTGTCTTGTTGATGACAATGGTGGCATTGCTGAAGTCAATTCGATGGTCGCATTGTTCAGCATGCTTAGCGACTTTTGAATATTGGTCAAATTGCGAAACAGCTCGTCCGTGTTCTCTTATTCTAGTTTTCAGTGCTCTGTCTGTTTGGCCGTAATATACAAAGTCACAATCGCAGCAACAGATTTTGTAAATGACTCCGCTTGTCTCCTTGGGTGGTAAATTGTCTTTGGGTTAAGGGAATTGGTGGGAAAGGGTACTCGTAGGTTTATAGCACACTTTGATATTTTCTCTCCTTAATACGCGGGAGATATTTTCTGCAACGCCTTTGACAGCCGGTAAGACTACAAAACTGGGAGCAACACAATCAGCGGGGTTTGCCCTGTTGTTATTGGCATCAGTGCTATGTAAATTAGCATTGGTGTTATCAGTATGACGGCGTTTTCTCTTGATATCGTAAGACTTTATCAACTTAAATGGGTAACCGTTGTCTCTCAAGACTTTGAATACATGTTTTCTTTCTCTGCGTTTTCCTTTGTAGGACGTGGGAATTTTCTCAGCTCCGTCGAGGAGAGTATTTAAGACCGAAAGTTTGTCTTGCATGGGATGGTGTGAGTCGTAGTGCAGGTATTTGTCTGTGTGAGTTGGTTCTTGATATATATCCACTTCTACTTTGCCGTTAGAGCGGATAGTCACGGTATCCAGGAATGGGAAGCGTCGGTTTTCTTCCAGTTGGATGGTGAATTGTAAATATGTGTTTATAGAATTGAGGTGGTTATGAAATTCGTTCACATGGGTTTTCTTCAGACAGGAATGGCTATCGTCGACATATCCGAACCACCACCATGGGGGATGTGGTCCTGTTGAAAATGCAGTTTCTTCCACATGTTCCATAACTATGTCAGCAATTGTAGCGCTAATGGGTGATTCCATAGCACAACCTGAGATCTGTTGGTAATATTCATTCTTATATGTGAAGAAACTGTTCTGAAGGGTGAACTCTAATAATTTTGTGATGTTAGTAATCGATATGTCTTTTCTTTGAGTCAACGGCATTTCTTGTTGTAACCTCTGTTTGATCACCTGTAAGGCTATTTTGGTGGGGATAGATGTGAACATGGATACAACATCGAATGATATCATGACTTCGTCGTCTGCAATTTGTCGATGTCTAATTTGTTGAGAAAAGGCAAAACTGTTCATAACTGTGTATTTCCCCTTGAGGAGGTGGTTAATATTTTGACAAAGTGTTTCGAGAGTTTGTATGTCGGGAAATTAATGCAACTTGTAATGTGGCGAAGTGGTACGGCAGGTTTGTGGATTTTAGACAGTCCGTAGAATCTTGCTGGTGTGCCATCAGTGGAGAGGAGATGCAGGTAAAGGTGTTTATGCATTTGAGATTTATCAGGATCATGTTCTGAGGGTGTCTCCTTAATGTTGGTGAGTTTTCTACTTTGGAAACTGGTCTTCTTCGTCTATCTGTGATTTTTAAGTACGTTTCTTTATCACTCAATAAGTCGCTGATACTTGTGTAGTCGTCCTTATCCATGACGACGATGGCTTTTCCTTTATCAGCAGGGATAATTGTGATATCCTCGCGCAGGTTTTTCAAAGCGAGCTTTTGTTGGCGTGAAAGGTTGCAAGTTGTTGGTGGTTTGCTGTATTTCAGAATGTTTGTGACAGTAGCGCGTACGGATTCTTTGTTACTTTCAGGGAGGTCTCGAATTCCAGATTCTATACTCGCTACGATCTTTGGTACAGGTGTTGCTTTCGGTGCTGGTGCAAAATTAAAACCATATCGTAGGACTCTTGTCTCGGCAGGTGTTAGTTGATGGCCGGATAAGTTGACTACCCATCTGCCCTTGTCGATGTAATCGCTACTGTTTGTAGCGCCTAACTTAGCGAGTTTATGGACGTGTCTAGTCTCAACAATTTCCTTAATTCTCTCAGCGTTTTTTTGAGACTAGATACGTCCGTAAACTCGTCCATAAACACATACATTTATATATATATATATATATATATATATATATATATATATATATATATATATATATATATATATATATATATATATATATATATATATATAGATATATATATATATATTCTTCAATTATAACTTCAATTATATAAAGCTTCAATTTAAAATAATAATAGATTTTATTAAACTTCAATAAATAAATACATAGTACGTTTCGAGGCACAGCCCCTTCGTCAGAAACGAGATGAGTTCAAAACCATGTCCCTAATTAAATACCTAATTACGTCCAATCATAATTTACATACACTAATATACATAGACTTGTCTTAATTTTCCTCCCTCAAATTTAATCCCAGTGGTACATACAGTATGTATTCAATTTTTCAATCCAAGAACTTTCCCTTTCTGTTGGTTTATTAACATCCGTACCATCAATAATTTGTGCTTTAAAATCATTAAGACCCGAATGGCTCTCCTCAAAAAAATGTTCATACAAATATTGACCACATAAAGCTCTTTGGCCATTGTGGCAATTCGTGTCTTAATGATTTTAAAACACAAGTTATTGATGTTACGAATGTTAATAAACCTACAGAAAGGGAACGTTTTTGGATCGAAAAATTGAATGCCATATGTACCACTGGGATTAAAATGTGAGGGAGGAATATTAAGACAAGTCTATGTATATTAGTGTATGTAAATTAGGATTCGGCCGTATTTTCCACTTTAATCTCCCCGAGTTTTTAACATTATGCTGGAACGAATTCAGAAACGAGCGTTGAATATCATATATGGTTACGATGTACCGTATTCTGAAGCGTTCGTAATGTCAAAACTGCATAAACTCTCCGATCATCGTAGTCATCTTTGTGATGAATTTTTTAACAAAATTGTAATGAACCCAAATGATAAACTTCATGGGCTTCTGCCTTATAACCTGAGCGTAATTTCTTCGTTAAGAAACAAAAGAAATTTCACTATACCTATATGTAAAACGGACCCTTTCTAAAACTTCTTTATAATTGCAGCCGCTGGATGGTATAATGACCACAGTAGTTCTAGAATTTTATCTTAAAAGTTTTTAATTTTATATGTAAAACCTTTTTAAATTCAGTTCTTTGCTGTAAAAACAAGGTTATAATTCTTAATAATAATAATAATAATAATAATAATAATAATAATAATAATAATAATAATAATAATAATAATAAACGATCTATCTATCTATTTAATAGCATGAAAACAGACCTACGTTTCTCCCGCCCTAAAATTCGTGGGTCGACGGAAAGGGCGATACGTGGAATCCGACCGTCTTGTGATTGGGATAGCTAATTGAATGATAATAATATTTATTCAGGAAACCAACATCACAAAAAGTGTTTTTCAGATCGTTCCTGCAAAACATTAAAATACAAAGTATAGAAAATATATATAGTGTGCGTGCAGTATTTACATATTAGTATATATGGATATATATATGATATTCCAGAAAAATTATGAGACTATAGGATACATGATGCTATACATATTTACAAGGATACAAAGAGATCGTAAGTTATATTTTAAATAGCTATGAGTATTATAAAGATAGAGATTTGAGAAGTTCATTCCTAAAGGTTCCTAATTGTTCAATGGATCTAGTATTATAGTTCGAATCGTTGTACTCTCTACAAGCCTGGTAAAGCAGTTTTTGCTTTCCCCAGTTTGTCTTCGGCTTACAGAGGTATATATCATCTCTGCGTCTTGTGTCATATAAATGATTAGTTTTAGGCAGTTCGAGATTAAGCTCTGTTAAATTATTTTTTAATTTATATATGGTTAGTATTCGGTGTAGTTTGCGTCGGTGGGTAAGTGGATGCCAGTGTAATTTGTTGAGGGCTTCAGTGGATGAGGATAGGTAGGAGCGTCAAGAATGGTTTTTGCAGCCTTATTCTAGAGAACTTGTACTTGATCCATTAAGGAGGAGTTATTCTTGTCACCCCATATAATATCTCCGTAGTCAAATAGTGGAAGAATAAGAGCGTTGTAGATGATAAGTCTTGTTTTGAGACGAATGAAGGTTTTAATTCTTCTTAGCAGTCCTATGCGTTGGTTAATTTTTGGTGAAATATTATTTAAAAGTCAGACCAAGTGAGATTTTCTGAGAAAGTTATACCTAGATATTTAAAGGTACGTTCACGGGCAAGTTGATGTTCGTTGACATGTATGGATATATTAGTGAACGACTTCAGACGGCTGTTACTACCAAACAGAGAACTTAGATTTTTTGCAGCTCAATGTAAGTAAGTTTTGATCAAGTCACTGGGAGATCAAGTTAAGGTCCTCGTTTACGTATTTCTCAATGTCACTAGCTGACTTGGATGAGTAGTATAGCAGAGTGTCGTCAGCGTAGAGTAATATCTTGCAGTGTTTAACAATGTTGGGCATATCGCTGATATAAATAGTGAAGAGAAGTGGCCCTAAAATGCTTCTTGTGGAACGCCGACTGACACGGGTAGAGAGCTGGACAGCGTATTGTCGATGGATGTTACTTGTTGACGAGAGGAAAGGTAGGACTCGAACCAATTTAGGGAATTGTCATCCAAGCCAACGGATTTTAATTTACACAGCAGAATAGCATGGTCAACGGTGTCAAATGATTTACTAATGTCCAAGAAAACAGAGGCAGTAATCAGACCGTTATCAGCGTTTTCAAGAATGTTGTCGGTAAAGAAAGCCAAAGCAGTGCTGGTTGATAGTTTAGGTCTAAAACCAAATTGATTAGAAGTTAGGATTTTGTTTTCGGTATATATAATTGGCCAATTCATAGGGAAATGGGTTGTGAGTTGTTGGTCGCTATTATGAAAAGATTTGTTATTATCAACGCATATAATATGCATACAGTGTAATCTTCCAGCCTCGTACCCAGGCGCAAATAACGTACTAAAAATAGCAACACTACAGTTTTTCGATATCGATCAGCGGCTAAGATGATCGAGCGCGCGGGGGTGCTTGGGCACGTCTTCCCCTAGCACCCCTGCGCGCTCGCTCATATTAATTAGTCACTGATCGACATAGAAACACTCTAGTGTTACTATTTTTAGTACGTTATTTGCGTCTGGGTACGAAGCTGGAAATATTTTAAATATTTTGTGAAGTCGAACGACAACTGGACTAACAGTATCTACCATCTAAAATTAAAACTAGAGGGGAGTAGAGCAGTACGTGTGAAATACTTCAGCGTTGTGTCTTTCCGTTCTAATATACAAAACAATAATTTTTACACTATCTACGTTTTGATAATTATAATAAAACTGATACAATGATACACATATGTGTCAGCGCAATAGTGCGTTTATGATTTACATTTCGATAACATAGCACGTACAAAATATTATATTTAGATTTTAGCATTGTATGGCGGTTTCAAAATGTACAAGTTGTAAGAATTTGGATGCAATTCAACAATGGGAGATGGTCATTGCCAAATTTGCATAGGCAGATTTTATTGCATTTATAGAATGTGTTGAAGGTTTATTGAATTTATAGAATGCCACTATGAAGGACTACCTTATATCGTCCTTGGAGATTTTAGAGATAAATTACCCTAATTGCGCAATCGTACTAGCTGGAGACTTCAACAAAACTCGCCTCCCATTGCTCCAGTCTGCTGTGAAAGTCTTTCAACTTAAACCGGTCGTTGACTTCCCTGCTAGAGGAGATAGAACTCTTGACCAAATTTTTACCAACCTTACAGAATATTTTTCATCTCCGTGTAGTTTACCCGCACTTGGTCTTTCGGACCATCAAACCATGTTTATCTTGGCTAGAATTCGTGATAAAACCTGCAAGCCCAAACCCAAATTAATTACGACGAGAGATAAACGACCCAGTAAAATAGCAAGTCTTCGTCGATTTCTTCAACAACTACCTTGGTTTGACTTTTTCTCCCCGGCTCAGTCAAGTGAAGATAAAATTAACATCCTTACAGATATAATACATTTTGGCCTAAATACCATCATGCCCGTGTCAACCATCAAGATACATGAATCAGATCGGCCCTGGATGAACACTAATCTAAAACAGCTCATCTCTCGTCGCCAAAAAGCTTTTACAACTGGTAACAATCCTCTCTACAAAATTCTAAGAAACAAACTCAACCAAGCATGCAAACGCTGCAGAAAATCCTACTACGTTAATAAAGTTAACGGTTTACGAGATTCCAAGCCCCGTGACTGGTGGAAAGAAGTTAAATTAAACAGTTTTGCCGCGCCAAATAAAACCTTGTCTGTGATAAGGAATCTCTGGTTGAAAACATCAATTTGGCGTTTGTCAAAACAATGAATGATTATTTACCTCTGTCAGACTGTATACGAGTATAAATGGGCGATGATCGACCAATATCTGTCACTGAACACTCTGTCGCAAGAAAGCTTTTAGAGCTAAATGCTTCTCGTGCCAGTGGTCCCTACAACTTCCCTAACTGGGTACTTAAAAATATTGCGTATATTCTAGCGACCCCAATTGCTGATATCCTAATTACTTCGTTCTTGGAATGTAAAGTTCCTGACGCATGGAAACTTGCCAATGTCTGTCCTCTGCCTAAGGCATCTTCTATCTGCAACATCAATGAGGATTTAAGACCAATCTCTCTAACACCCACTCTCTCAAAAATAGCTGAGAGCTTCATCATAGACATTGCGTTGAAACCTGCTCTACTACCTATTATCGACCCAGGCCAATTTGGGTTCATCCCAGTTCATCCCAGGTTCGTCAATTACTCTAGCACTAATCTCTATGTTCAATCATTGGTTACGAGCTACTGACGGCACCGCATCCACCGTAAGAACCATAGTTTTAGATTTCCGCAAAACTTTTGACTTGGTGGACCATAATATTTTAGTCGCATAATATTTTAGTTGAATAATTGATTTCCTAAGACACAGAAAGCAGAGGGTTAAACTAAACAACATCGTTTCCGATTGGCTTGACGTCCCAGCAGAAGTGCCTCAAGGAACTCGTCTTGGTCTCTGGTTGTTTTTAGTACTAATCAATTATCTTAAGCAACCTCAGGAATCCTTATCTATTTGGAAATTCGCCGATGATTGCACAATCTCTGAGTGATACCACCCTTCAAGCAAAGCTCTCTTCAGCAAGCTGTTGACTATATCGATGCATGATCTCAAGAAATTCGATTACAATTGAAACCAACTAAGTGTACAGAAGTACGATCATGTTTCAAGAGAAACCCTCCACCATTCCCTTTAGTCGAACAAAATTATTTTCAGTTAGAAAGAGTTAGCGTGGCCAAAATCCTTGGCGTAACAATCCGGAACTATTTTAAGCGGAACGACCATATTGGTATTGTCATCGTAAAAGCCGCAAAACGACTGTATCTTTTGAGACAATTAAAAAGAGACGGGATCTGTCCAAAAGATCTTATCACTTTTTACTGTAGTGTCATCAGATCACTCCTGGAATATTCGTGCCAGTTGTTTCATCGGAGTCTCCCTAACTACCTGTCAAACGAGCTTGAGAGTATCCAAAGGCGCGCTATGCGTATCATCCTCCCAGACTTGAAATATGCTGACGCGCTAAAAGACGCCGGCATTTCCACTCTCTTCGACAGACGAGTCCAACTATCCAGTCATCTTTTTGAAGATATTGTTAATAAACCGGATCATAAGCTCAGTGGCCTACTTCCACCGCAAGCACATCATCATAACGATTTAAGGAGTGAACGAAGGTTTAATGTACCTGTTAGTAAGACGGATCGTTTTAAAAAATCTTTTATTATTAATCATAGCTCAAATATATAAATTTTAAAAACAATTAATCTAGGTGATAAATTAACTTACTCTTATTTTTAATTATTCAAAATTGTTGTAATAATGTATAAAACTTAATTGTTGTAAATATTCACATAATTCAGTCTACGACTGTAAAGTGTTTTATTTTAATAAACGAATCTAATAATAATAATAATAATAATAATAATAATTATAATATTACTACATACACTGTAAAAACTGATAGGTTAAAATAACCAAAAAAAATAGGTTATTTGGTTTGGTCTAGGACAACCCGATAAATATAGGTTATTTCAATAGGTTAAAAGAACCGAAAATAAATAGGTTAAAACAAACCATTAAAAATGATTGGTTTATACCCATAAGAAATAGGTTGTTTTATTAGGTTAAAACAACTAAAATTAAATAGGTTAAAGCAAACCATCGCAAATGGTTACTTTAACCTATAAATCTGTAATATGTAATTTTAACCTATTAATTATTGGTTTATTGAACTAAAGATTTATGGTTATTTTGACTAATTAAAAAAGTAATTCCAACCTATATTCAAAAGTTAAAATGACGCAACATCATTTAACCAACGAAAGTGCGCGCTATTTCGTACCCCGAACTTGACCGTTATTTACTGGTTGTTATAACTAAAAAAATGGCCAAATCAACCAAAATATTATTGGTGAATATTCGTACCATTCGTATTATAGTTAAAACAACCTATATTTATTTGGTTGAAATATGCTCAATTTGACATTTAAATTTTAGTTAAATTATATTCTCACCCATCCTTATCCATTTTCTGTTCAGAAGTTCTTCATGTACACATTTCGGGAACAATGGATCTGCATGGTTTGTGTGGAGATTTGCAATGTGTCTTGAATATGATTTCCACTTTGCCAAGATGAGCTGTTCATAGCCAGACTTTGTGGAGCAAGCACACCAATATAAATAATTTTTGATTGGCTTTATCCACTGCAGAACTGCTTCACAACCTTTTTCTTTAGCTAATTTTGCCAACTTTTTGGTTATGCTTTTGGAAACATGCCAGATATCAAAGAAATGATGGATCAATGGGTATGCTGCCCTCACCAACTTTGTTATTCCTCTGTGTCTGTCAGATATGAATGTTTGCACTTTCACTCCTGTATTGGTTAGGAACTTAAAAGAACGTTTTGCACCTTCCAGTTCCATAGCTTGGCTTGAACCAGTTTCATTAGCCTGAAATTAAAAGAATTTGAGACTCAAGTACAACATTAGCTCTTTTCTGCCCCCTGCTAACCACACAATTTTCTAAACTATGTTAGACAGAGTACTGTCGATGCAATAGAAGTGTTGATAAAATACTGCATCAATTCATTACCTAGAATTGATCAATTCAATTCCTTGAAAATTGATCAACTTCCTGTGTGCTTGAATCGACCAATTGCTTTTCGTTTCAGTGACTGACTGACCAATTGGGAACAAGCAGCCAGTAAACAGGGAGTTGAGCAATTTTCAAGGAATTGAATTGATCGATTCTAGGTAATGAATTGATGCAATATTTTATCAACACTTCTATTGCATCGACAGTAGGAACCTAAAATATGGTAACCTGCAACTTCGTAAGTTAACTGGAAATATTGGTATATTGCAGCTTAATTTCAAATTTATTTGAACATGCATGCAGAAATTAGACAATGTTTATTACCTGTAACAACTCAAAGTGTATTAGTTTCCCTGACGAGGCATTCATCATAGTGTATGCACCATACTTGGCTGAATGCCCCATTGAGTCGAATCGACCATCACCTGCCCAAACACTTTCTTTTGCCAAACGAGCTTTTTCAAGCAGTCCCAAGCGTATTGACTCCCAAAAGTTAATAATAGTTGGGAACAGCAACCACCTTTGATGAGCAAAAAATGTCCGGGCCGAGTACAGACAGAGACCCAAATGGGAGAATACCAGCAATGTTTTGCTGACACTTGCACCAGCACATAGAATGGCAAAGCTTAACAGTAAATTACCAGCAGCATATCGACCAAATACAAATGGCTGGCTATGCCATTTGAAAGGCTGTATTCCATCTTTCTCACACTCTTTGCAACATTGCTCTACGGTGACCATCGTGCCAGATTTTGAGACTCGAAGCTCAGGTTTCTCTGTCTTGCAATTGAAACAAAACATCGAGAAGATGGATACCAAGCAAGAAAGAAAAACCAGGAATTTTGGTTCATCTTGAGGCAAGGCAGTGGGATCAATCCTATAAAACACAGGTATTAGCCCACTCAATTAATTAATTTGTGTGGATGTATATGGTAAATAAAATATTTCTACAGTTTTTATAGTACTTTACCTAACTTGATTCTTTTCATTGAACTCTACGGCATCTTCACCATCATTTGGGTCCAACTCATCTTCAACTTCCCAGTCTGGATCATTCTTCAGACTGCTCATGTCATCTGCTTCTGCCAAGTAGTCATCAAGCTCATTCGGGTCAACAGCAAGGTTTCCATCAAATTCATCAGGTAGATTCTCCACCTCATTCTGCTCATTTAAAAACTCAACCATTGGCGTAGGTGAAGCAGAATCTGAAGAGGACTTCGATTTTACCTGCAGTTGAAGGCGTTTTATAGTCCTCCTATAATTTGAGCACCTTTGTTGGGCAGTTTTCAACTTTCGTTTACAAGTAAACAGTTCGTCTGTCTCTTCAGGCTTGGTATGTTTATCTTTCTCGCCAAGAAGAACGGATTGGTCCTGAGAAAGAGACTCCGTAGTTAACCCGCTTTGATCGCCAGAGGAAACTTCAATTTCAAGATCTTCGTTTTCTGCCATGCTGATGCTCTCATCAACAATCTTTGACCGCTTGACACTCGACTGAGATACCTCTCGAAGAAGCTGCCTTTTTGCACGTTCAACTTTGGCAGTAGGAATATGTGGTGTAGTGGGAAGTGCAGCAGACGTTTCGGGAAAAAACTTCGAAGCGACATCGTAGTCGTCGACTGTCGGTATTGTCCCATGCTTGAGATATCTCTTGCAGGATATATTGCTTGGCGAGCGATCAGGTGCGGTTGGTACATTTATATCCAGCCGTTGGGTAAAATCATTGCCATGAAAATGAGCAGAACACAATGCAGAAGAAGATGTTGGATCCCAAACCGGTCTATGCCTTCGAACAAACTTCGTCCATGCAGCACGTTGTTTGTCGCCTCGAGGAAACATGTGCATCGAAATTCCCTTGGTATTGCTTGAATTTCTACATGATCTCGCACCGCTAAAACCAGCAACGCAATACTTTCCTCCCTTTCCAGGCATGTTCGTAAACAGTACCCAAAAACCAAAAAGAATTTACGAGACCCAGATAAAATATATACTGGTAAATATAGCTTGAAAGACAGTATATGTCGTTTGTTTTCGTTATCGCGCTAAATGGCGGTACAACTTCCTACGTCATCACTCGGACCCAGGCCTCTTGGGTATGTTGGGCGCGAACATTTCAATATAGACGCACTTTGAGGGGGAATTTCAACGCTTTAACGCAGTTGAATTTAAAAACTAAGTGTTTTACTGAAAAGAGCGCGTTTTATAGTCCTAGAATAGTTTAATACTGCATAAACAAAATTTACGCTTCATATGCCCTTTAAAGACCATGTAAAGTCTGTTTTGTGCATACTTTCTGCGCATTGTTATTGTTTACGTTTCCTAATATGATTTTTACATGACGTATTTCCTGTTGTCTATGCTGCCATCTATCTTTCCTTCCTTCGCGTGAGGCGTGCATATCATGAATATGAATGAGAGTTTTAATAGTTTTGATGATCTGGATCAATTCGAACTGGAAGAGGCTGCGCAAATCCTGAACAAGGATGACATAACCGTGTGTTCTTGCAGAGGGATGTGTCTAAAGGAGAGTGGGCAAAATGCATGTCCTTGTAAGACAATCGGCCAGTATTGCACATCTGCTTGTCATGCTGACAGCAATGTTACTTGTATGAATTCGATAAGAAAATTTGGCCAGTGACTCGAGTTAGCAGTCGAGCGGTTCGAAATTCATTGGGGAATTATCGGTAAGTTCTATTTAATCGCGAATTGTTTTTGGAATGCCTTGCAAAACATGTAAATTTACCGTATTTATATAATATTCGTAGGAGACTTCAGAACATGGCGATCTTACTGATTTGGACGACAATGAAACATTGTTTCAGCCAAGCATATCAAGAAGAGGCAGGGGAAGAAGCAGAGGAGCAGAACGCAGCAGGAGTTGAGGAAAAGCGCCAAGTCGAAGAGGAATGTCTAGGGGTAGAGGCAGGGGTCGTAATAATTTGTCCCAGAAGTCGATCAGGAGCAAAGATTGGTCAATCATGAACAGCAGTTACAGGTATGTATAAATATGTATTACACTGTTTCATATAATATAACCTTATCATGCTAGGTGCATGTTTCTGTTTTAAATTGTTGATTAATGGTTTATATGACTTCCAACAAGCAAATGATGTACCTTTTAGAATTTGGTTGACAATCTTGACGTTGAAGTTCTAAGGAGGCTAGCTGCCGAGTTACTGCGAAAACAACCAGCAGTTTTTGCTGATTTGGTAAATGGGGAGCTACCGGATGAGCCGCAACCTGGTGTTGACTTGTTCACAGTGTACTTCAACATTAGACATTTTTCAATTGATTGTACTGAATGGGAATGTGTTGGATATTGCCATGAGATATCATGAGGATGTTCTTGCTTTAGACCATCATAGAAATAATGAAAACTTTAGGCACATGGCACAGACAGTTTGTTTTATGGCAGCATGGACGTTTGGGACAAGGTAATCGACGAGTTGTCCCCAGTTGCTGTGTCCTTGCAATAAGGGCAAGATATCCATCTCCAAATGGAATGTACACTGGATACTGCCCAACAAGACTGTAGTATTTACAGTGGCATATCCAGCCTGATGATCTAATCCTGCCATGCAAATATTGCCATGTTTAAAAACTATCAACACAATAAATTTCTAAAAAAAGGAATGAGTTGAAATTTGCATAGCGGGAGTAAATAATTGGGCTGGCTGGCTATGCCACTGAGTATTCATGTAATTTTACTAATGCATGGAGATCTATTGTAAAATATGGAACCCAGCACGATGCAACGCAAGACAATTACGCCCGTATTCTAAAAGCTCACTCACACTCAAAGAGTGAAGGTTCAATCTGAGCATCCCTTGAGTGTAAGTGCTGTTTTTGAATAGCTGGAGGGTGGGTAGTCACATAGTAAAGTACGACAATAACCCTCCAGCTATTCAAAAATAGCACTGACACTCAAGGGAAGCTCAGATTGAACCTCCACTCTTTAAGTGTGAGTGAGCTTTTAGAATACAGGCATTACTTACACATTTTATGCAACAGAGGCAATGTTTTCAGAAAAGGCTAATGTATCAGAGATATTAGACGATATGTTATTTTCCGCTGGCTGACAGGCTAAGGTACGAAAGAAGCGGAAATTGTTTTCTTACACACTGCTGGGGGCCCGATAGAGATCGGGTTGTGCAGGTTACAGTAGATGAATTACAATATGTCCAATAATATATAAAATTCACACTCTAAGATCTAAATTTCCATCTACAAAACCCTTTTACAATTAGTTATATCGAGTGTAGATGCCTAAAATCCTGATATTGTGACTTCCAAAGGGATGAAGAATTGTGTCAAAACACAATGGATTCCTACCACCGACCGCTATTTTTTCTTTTAAATAAATAATAAAACAATTATTATTATTGAATTCGGTTTTGTATGATATGAAGAATTATCGAGGCTGATACTTGTGTGTTTATCAGGGCGATAACAGGGTGACATAAGAACTATACAGGTACAGACAGTTTTAGTATATATGTCACTGATATATTTTTTTTGTCACTGATATCGCTTTCTGTCCCGCTATTTTAATAATTGTTACATCGGGACAATGATTAATATTCTAATAAATTCTGACCCTGATAAAGGCATGAGTATATAATAAACAGGTTATCCTAATTGGAGCGATATCAGTTTTGTGCTTTCAGGACGATATTGTGAATGTCCCTCTTTCACTGCGCTTACTCATGACATTTATCAAGCGATAAAACTGATATTGCTTTGCCTCTCATATGCTAACCTATATTCATAAACTATGATGATAACATATACTCATATGATAACCTATTCATAAAATATGATAACCTATACATACCAACAGCAATGGCGCCGCCAGCTCGATAATTGGGGGGGGGGCGCGAATATTCATATCTTCATGTTCTGCATTATTAACTTCTTTTGAAATCGATTGTTTATATGGTCTGTGAACACAAATATATGAATATTCAATATTTGTCCCCCCCCCCCCTGAATTATCGAGCTGCCGGCGCCACTGACCAACAGTTAAATTAGTATAAAATAAAACTATATTGTATAGGAACAGACATGGTACTTGTACAAAACAAGGATGGTACACACGCTGGTATTGCACAGGGTAAAGTCATCAAGTTGGTGTTACCTGACGGGAACATTGTCGCAATGCAAGATAAAACACCAGTAAGAATAACGGTAGTGTTGAATTCGAATGAGATAAAGGCAGATCAGATTGTAATGTGGCCCAGCAGTATGTTAGCTGTTCGCCAACCCAACATTATTCCAACCCCTCAAAGTGACATTCCACCAATATCTAAAAGCGATGGTGTTATGAATTATAGCTTACAAGTGTTGCAGTTAGGATTTCTGTTAATGAACCTAAATGACACAGAAAAGGAAGGAGATGGCAACAAAAGTTTACTTAACTGGAAATTACTTATGTTGTATTTTAGATGTAGGTCGAGAGGAATGAAATATGCGTTCGAAGCTATGCGGTTCATAACCATGACAAAAGCGTTGTATACCGCAAGAGTGGCCCATCGAGTAATTCATGGACAGTTTGTCAACCACAAAGGCGGAGCAGGAAACAATTATGCCAACGAGCTAAAAATGGAGCACATTATGAGGAACAACAAAGATATTTTAAAGGGATTATATACAAACAAAACTTTAAAAGCGGTACAAAGAAGTTCATCAGCTGCTTACCGGAGTACATCAGATTGTGAATAACTTTGATATACAGTCTGATATACCAACACATTCCACAGCTCATACATATGCAGACAAGCAGGCCGATGAAAGAGAAATCATTCATAAAATTAAGCCATTTACCTATCAACATGGAAGGGAATACAAATCATTTAATGAAATAGCAAAGTCTCCATTGGAAAAACTGAACATTGTCATGCTCAGCAAATGGTTGACAGATCACAAAAAGAAACTATTTCAATCTCTGTACACCTATGTTGAATTAGAAAATGATGAAGATGATGAAGACAACGATGAGGACAATTACAATGATAACAATGAAGATAATGTTAGTGACTTTGAATTAGAAATAAATAGTGATGCTGGGTGTTATTGAATGATGCTTTTGGAGTAAAATGATTTATCAATGTAGCATGAACAGGATTTGCAAGAACAACTGTAAGTACTGTATGAATGCAAAGAATAGACTGTAACACATCCTTAGAATATTATACTGCTGAAGTATACAGTAGGGTGAGGCGTTAATCAGGGTGTTAGCCAGGTGGCCGTCCGACCGTCCTATGGACGGCCACTTCTGAATTTGGACGGCTAAATTTTAATGGATGGCCTAAGGGAATATTTTCTTTAAATAGCAACCTACAAGCTTTGTAATATTTTTTGAATAATTCGCGCCATATTTTTGTAAAACACGCCATGTTTTGTAACCATTTTGATGATTCTCATAATATTTGTGCAAAATTGCAAAGCATTGAAGTGTATCATTATACCATTAATATAGTTGTTTTTTAAAACTAAAATCTTGAACGTGTAGCATGAAGTTTAATCTAACTGTAATATATTTTGACATAAGTTACAAAAATCATGTTTTCCCAGAGGGTTTTCAGTTTATACCCTGAACCACCTCACCCTACTGTTGATTACAAAATCATTTGAATGATAAATTTTGGGTTTGAATGTTTCTTCAAATATACAACATTTTAGATACAGTAAGTATTGAATAAGATTTATTGTATCTAAAATATTGTAATAAATTATTGCTTTTATCAATCTCTGTACCTCCTTCATTTTTTGAATAATTTTACAACCTTGTATGTTTACATGGCAATACAACTGTGACCCTTCTCCAGAAATAACTCTCACTTATAACCATGTGACACTAATAATGTCCAGATGAAAGCCTTTGTCCAAAGTTATTTTTGACAGATTTGATTTTTTACATAATCAACAGCTTTTGCAGTTTGAAGTTTATAGATCCTGCTTAAGTATTCATACAGTGTATCACATAACTTGTTGCATTAATATATCATTTATACTTTTTCAAAACTTCCCAAATTACAATGGCATTGTTCTTTATAAAAACTGGTGTCATAGTCATAACATCATCAAGACTATTAAGCACATCAAATCATGAGCAAACAAGTTTGATCAGTTCAATGCTGTAACCAGAACTGAAGCATGTGCTGCCAATACATGACCTTCCATAATGTAGATTAAGCCAATATGAAGTTAATTCATCACGTAGTTGTGTTAAATCAACTTCCTGGCAATCTGATGGTGTTGTGTTGCCTAATACAATGTCCTTCAAGGCTAAGTCGACTTCGTTTACGATCTCTACAGAACAATTTTCACAATCGCATATATCTTTGTGGTAATCACAACATTTGGAAGTAAGGTACAACCGTCCAAGATATACCCAAAGTATTTTAAGATCATTTCACGTCGACATACACTAGTTGAGGTGACATAATTTCTCATTACATTGCTCATTTCTTTCCTTCTTTTTGACAAGTCATGAGAATTATAGTACAGTGTAGCAGTAGATGGAAGTCCATCCCTTCCACCTCTTCCAATCTCCTGAAAATATTCCTCCATTGAGTATGGCACACCAATGTGTATAACTCTCCTTATGTCTTTAAGATCAACTCCAATCCCAAATGCCACTGTAACAAAAAGAACCCTCAAGACAGAGTTACCTGATAGGAGTCCATCCACAATGTGATGTTTTTTATGTTCAGGAATATTGGTCAAAAAGTCTGTTAGCAGAAATGCACTGTGACCCAGGAGGATAATACTGCTTTTTTCCAAGCTTACTGCTTACATAGAGCAAGCATTCAGACACTACTTCAAGTGTACCATATACCAGGGTGAATGGTGTATTTAATCCGGGGGGATCCAATTCTGCAACAAGATTATCTAAAATAGGAGACAATTTTTCTTCCCCTGAATTGCCTCTTTTCTTGCAAGAAAAATAAATATTTGGTCGGTCAGGATTAGTTTTGACAATTTGTGGACGGTTCATTCCAAGGGATTCAATTATTTTACATTGCGTATCATAAGTGGCGGTTGCAGTCATTGCAACAATAGGAGTATGTGGGAATATATTTGCCAATATCCCAAGTTTACCATATGCTAGTCTCAATTTCTCCCTAAAAAATGTGTATAAAAAACACATTGTATATTAATTTTTCATCTTGCACTGGTACAGTAATAGATCCCTAATTTAAAGTTGTGCATTATATATCCATAGGTAATAGTTTGGATTTATAATTTTTATTTGTCAATATTATAATTGGTTTATATAAGCAAAAATGTGGTCCTTGTTTATCACCTACACATGTATTTTCAACCAATAGCAACTAATCCTTAAACAAATAGTTCAAGTGACAGTGGACAATTTAGTTGGATGAACATAAAATAGGTATGTTATGTAACTGTCAAATTAAACTGCGATCACCCCCCCCCCCCGCCCCCCAGGTCATTTGACTTAAGATTACCTCAGTACCTGGTCAGGCATTTGACCAATGCCTGTGAGAGCCAACCACGGGCCGCCCGTCCATCGTCTGTCCATCTCACACTGATGACCACACCAAAGTCTATTTTTTAATCGCAATCAAAGGAATCGCCAGCGAATTACTTCCAAAAAATTGAGATTTCCGGGCCCCTTTGAACAATCCAGTCCCCAGGTATTTTGCCCCCACCCCCCTCTCACCGGCTTTGCACTTGACCAATTGGTAACAACTTGTTCAGCAGTTGTTCCTTAAAATATATGTACACTCTAGCTCTTTTGTCTTTTCGATAGATTAAAAAATTATAAATTGCTTCTGAACCACAAATATCAATCATAGAATAGATATATGATATCAATACGCCCGGTTGAACAAACAGAACTGACTGGCCTATTTTTCGTTCTTTTAATGTTGTGTTTGAGGTTTTATATATTTAATATAATGTTGTAAACAAATATATATTTAATATTGTATTAAATATAAACATTTAGCCAAAATTCCAGAACCAGGGCTATCCCTATAGCAGGGCAGTTGACTATGGTGTCTGCCTGTTCGGGTGGGCATTTGACTACTTATTTTTTTTTTTTCAAAAGTCAAATTCCCAGAGGTTGCATGATCGCAGTTGGATTTGACTCATACATTAATAAACAAGGATAAAATTTTTTCAACAATAACTAGATGAGCCTCATCAACCACAATAGCAGACACACATGTTTGGCATTTCTTCGCTTTCAGGAGCTTCAACGCTCTTTCATCACTAACCAGAGACTTTGGATGGGTAAATATAATTTGAGGCATATTTGAAATATTTTTTTTAAGTCATAACTGATTATGGTTTCACGCGAATCACATGTATTGTACTTATTTTTTACAATACCGACGGTGATACTCTCTTTTAGTTTTGACACCCGATCATGCATGAGTGCATTCAAAGGTGATACCACAATAATAGATGTCGATGGATCGGAAGGCTTTAGTGATAATGTGTATTCAAATACAAATGGCAGGAGCTGAAAAATAAGGGATTTCCCAAACCCCGTAGGTAAAACAATTAAGCAAGCCCTTTTGTCGACTGTCACTGCCTTTAGTGCTTCGTACTGCTGCTCTTTTGTCACATCATCTGCATAGTTGAGAACATGCAATCCATTATCCAAGCTGTATGAAACAACTTAATTATATCGCTCTCAATGTCATTCAGTTTTTTAAGACCCGGGCGAGAGTTCTTAGAAGAAGAACTAGGGTTGCAGTTCGCCTGAACAATATCATCAGTTCTCACGTTTTCGCAAGCTACTCCCTGTACAGCAGCCATATTTACATATAAATGTTGTACTGGGACCAAATGTGTACTGGGACCAAATGTACTGATTTTTGTGCAAAATGCGCTGGTGTTTCCCAGAGCCTCAGCAAGCCTCCACAGAGGATTGTGGGCTCTGGTTTTGAGATTGCAGATTTTAGAGTTAATAGATTTATAACCAGTGTAAGTTGAGCTTGCAACCAATGTGACATATTCCTTTATATACCAAACAAATTTAAATATATCGGGAACAAACCATGAAAACAAGAAACTGAAAAATAAGTTAACACTACTGCTTAAAGAGTTCTTTCATTTAAGAAAATAAAAAAATTCATGTCATATGCACTTTAATGACTTACATAGATATTAACCATATATGGACTTAACTCACTTAAATTAACATACCTTCTGCAGATTTGTCATGTTGGTGAGGTACTTTACCTTTTCTCCATATATTGTACATCCAGAAACCCTATCAACACTTGAACATCATGAAAAAAATGCTGCAGAGAACTTCATTTTGTTTTAATAGATGTTGCCATTTTGCATTTCTTGTGCAAACAGCATTAAATGGGGCAATACTTCATGTAAGCATAGCATCAATAGGGATTAGATAGACAGAATGATTCTGTCACATGATGAATATCAAAGTCATCGATACTGGAAAATAGTATTGATACCAATTACAAAATTCTCAGTATCGACATTTTAAACTAATATCACCCACCACTAATTTTAGGTTATTTTTTCATTATGGCGAAGAACTGAAGAGGTTGAAAGACGAAACATGTATTTTTATAGTCGCGTAGTCGTGTTTAATGAGGATTTCTTTAAATTTCAACGACTAGTATTTCTAAATTAATCATTTCATCGAGTGTATAAGCGAAACAATTTGTACAATTGAACATGAAACTTTTTAGGTCAAGAAAGTTCTGAAACAAATCAACCAGATGCTGAATCATGCAACATGGAACAACTTGATGCTGTCCTAAGAGATGTCAATATACCTTTAGGAGGAGATCTTCTTGGATGTTAACAGATTACAGGAGCATGGAGAACAAGGTTTGGTTGTGATCTCGCTTCTGAATGTTTCGAGTCTTTGGTATAAAATACAGATTATGGCACTGAAAACAATCTTTTCTTCAAGTATGGAAAGTGTTCATTTGAAGAATAAAGTGCCTATGTGGAATTATACTCTATTTTTTTTAATTAAACAACAACAATAGTCTATTTACCCTTTTAAGTTTATAAATGCAAATTACTAAATATATCATAAATTGAAATCGAAATTCGATTGAATATCGAAATTGTGAAGGATAATGGCTTCTTGAAATAACCATAAAAGCTAAAAATTGCCAAGAAGCCATTTTAATGATGCAAATATTATAATAATAACAAGGTCAGGATTTACAACACACTATTTACTAGTAGAACGTACATATACATATACACACAAACATATATTCTACATGAAATTAGACTGTCTTATTATTATGATTCGAGAATCTGGATTTTTTAATAATCCAGAAAAACTAGTATATACTTATCAAATCTTTTTTGAATTTTATTTTAAACTGACTAAGTGAGGAAGGTTTTTTTATATTTTCTTCAATTGAATTCATACTTTTGGTCCTTGAAATCAAATGTTAATAAAAAGTCCACAATTTGTTCTTATTTAAGGAATATAATAAGACTGTTTTGCAGCAGATCATGTGTTATAACTATGAACACAATTTACTGGAGTGAATAACATATTAAAAATAGAGGGTGAAAGATCATTATGGATTTTCATCATAAAGATAGCAATATGAAATGTAATAAGATCGAATATCTTAATAATGTTCAACTGTTTAAATAAAGGACTGGAATGCTCATCAAATTTTGAAAAGTCCTATTTAAATATGTACAGTTGTTTTTGCAATATAAAAAGAGGTTGAACATTTGAATGGTATGTTACGGTGGCCCACAGCAGCAACACAGATATATATTTTCCAATGGGTATTTCAGTTCTATTTAACTAATATATATTTCCAATACATATATATTTCCACAGTACAGAAATATATTTCCAATACAGAAATATATCTCCAGTACAGAAATATATTTCCAATACAGAAATATATTTCTGTACTGGAAATATATTAACAGTACAGAAATATATTTCCAGTACAGAAATATATTTCCAAAACAGAAATATATCTCCAGTACAGAAATATATTTCCAATACAGAAATATATTTCTGTACTGGAAATATATTAACAGTACAGAAATATATTTCCAGTACAGAAATATATTTCCAATACAGAAATATATCTCCAGTACAGAAATTTATTATATGGCAAGCATTTGTTTTGATGAATCGCGCAATTTGATTGGCTGCTGACGAGAATTTTTATTGCCCTGCGACGAGAGCTGAGTTTCAAACAGCAAAAAATGTCTAAAAGTCTTTCAAAACTATTCAAAACAAATAAAATAAACCTAAAATAAAAAGAGGAGCAATTCTGCTGTGGTTAAAGAACTTTCTCCATACGTTTTTGTTAGTGAAAGTCAGAATTATAACTATAAAAGCAGTCAGGAATAGTTGTGTTTTGACTATGTGAAGAGCTGCAAATTTTATTTGCAGATAGCCAGGAGGAATTTGACACGTAAATAAAAAATATACGACTAAAGCAGCCACAGATTTATAACGAGGAAGAAGTAATCATTATCAGCGACGAAAAAGAGTCACAAGATGAAGAAAGATTGCAATAAAGTTGAAACCAAAATAGATGATGGCGAGGAAAGGGAGATCCAGGTAGAAAAGAAAAAAGATGACCCTGCAACAGAAAAGGATGACAACATCGAGGTTGCTAACGAAGGAGAAGGAAGCAATGTGTGTCAAGAGAACAAATTCAACAAACCTGATGTTTTCCATGTCAGGAAAAGGAAGTTACGGTTGCTGATCAAGAAAATTTCCTAGATAAAAGCAGAACGTCAAGCAAGACAGATGTTGAGACCCATTCACTTATTGCGACAAAGAAACTACGACACGCAAACTTCAACTGGTTTGTTTTTGTTTCAGTAATGGAAGAATTTTTTCGGGATGCAGGTTCTTCATCAGAAATGCTTAACCAGTTCTTAGACGATTTTTCTTCGAAATTGCCTGAGCTTGGTCTTAGTGAGGAAGTAGTTAAGTTAACACAAACTTCACGGACTATATATCTTCATAAAATGCACAAAGAACAGGCGTTCAGCTGTGTGTACCGAGACACAAGCGCAGGTTATCCAGCAAGCGATATAAAAGTGTAGCCAATGTTAAATATCAACGAGCAAGGAAAGGATTCACTTTAAAGCACAATCCGGACAGTAAATGGAGTTGTTCCATGTACAAGTTGTTTAAACAACTCCTAAAAGATGGAAAGGATATTTTACTATTAAACCATGATGACCAGGCTGGATTTCGCCGTACTCAACATTTACACACAAGAACTATCCTGTGCTTTCTTTGAATCCCACGAATACAACCCGGACAGATTTCGTTAATAAGCACCCGACCCAGCTTCAGACAACGTCTCATAATTAAAAAAACCCAGAAACAACTGACGAGTTATGCACTGGAGTAGTCAAATCTTCAAAACTTCATGAAAAGAGTCCTTCTCAGCATGCTGATGATATTGTAGCACTTGAAGGAGTAGATATATTGAAATCAGCATTTTACAAAGAGAATACCCAAGAACCCAAAGATGTGGAATGCATTCAGGTAGATGGAGCAGGTGACGAAGGTCTGTCGCACCACGAAGTTCAATTCATGTGGACTGAGCATCACATGACCAAGCCAACTAAGATCACGTTAGTTACCACCCGGTGCAGTGTGGACAGTTTCCTCAATAGTTTCCAAAATGGATGTCTCGGAAGAGGCTATTCTAACTTGTTTATACCATCGACATTAATGGGGTCCAACGAAGCTGATGATGGTGGACTTGATGAAGAAAAACACAAAGAAAACATGTGTGCAGCAATTGCCAAATATATCAGCAGAGTTGATGGCACTCCATGCTCATGGACACAGATTAATCTTATCAAAGGACCTGTGGATCAAATACATGTTTCCAGAAGAAAAGAGTTGACAACGTTCTTGAAAGGGAGTAAGAAAGCAAAAGAGCAACTAAAGCATGATAATCCTACATTGTTTGCTTACTTTACTGAAATCTGGGATGTCAGAAACAACCATATAGATGAGACTCTCCCTACAAATTATGTGTTCATGCTGAAATGCTGTGGGAAAAGTTGGTGCAAACATCCGTTGTGTCAAAAAGGTACACTTATTTTTTTTTCAAAATACAGTATCATTTCTTCTTTAAATCTTTATTTAGCTAATTCCACACTATTTTATAGTAATGGGACACATGACGCTTTTATGTTACAAGATTATTAAATCTGTGGGTTTTTCAAATTGTAGCTTCCTCATCGGAATCACGATCTAATAATGCTGAAAACCAAAAGAAGAGATTACTGTATATGCGAAAAGCCAGAAGAGAAAGGAAGGTAATATATTGCTAAAAGGCCCAACGACCAAGCAAAGAAACTTCGAATTGCCTTAACCTGCAAGTCTGCAACTAGCCAGCCTCAATACAATTAGATGTACCTGCCATAAAGTCATTTTCCGTGCAAAGTGGTACAACTTTATATTGAAATGCCACAATTTAAACAAGTTATTCAAATATTTCGGACAGTTGACTCTCGATATGTACCAAGTTAAAAAAATATTTCTTGAAAAACCCTTAATGTTGTAAGGTCGCATTCACACAGACATGTTAAAATTGTATGCCAAACGGAATGGGTCATTGAGTGTACTGTGTGCATATGAGTACAAAGTTACTTTTATGTTTGCAGGTTCATGATTTCATGTGACCAATGTGGAAATTGGTTTCACAGAGATTGTATTGCCATGACAGAGGAGGAATTAAACAAACATGAAGACCAAGATTTGCCTTATATATGTCCTAGGTGCAAGGAACCAGGTGTGTTTAATTTTATGAGTTTTACAACACTCGAATTTATGTACGTTCACTCGGAGAGTAATTTAACTGTTGTTTTTTTAGGAGTCCGAGATCTTCCTGTTGATGTCAAATGGTTTCCAGCTGGCCCATCGTTTAGTTTCTTTCCGCATCCAGTTGTTGATCCAAGTAGGCCGTGGAAAGGAACACAATGCAAGACTTGTGCTCCAACATGCTACGGTCATTATGTCACAAATGTCGACCAGTTGTTGCAACTATATTCTGAAGGAAAAGCAATTCGATCTCCACCACCCAGCAATATTTTAACAGATTACCATAAATGTCAGGATAATACTAAATCAGTATTAAATATAGATACAGATGCTTTGGATAAATTATCTAAGAAATGCCTTCTTCCTCCTGATGAGGTCAAAATTTGGTTAAACCACCTTCACCAAGTCGCTGAGAACAGAAAACGAGGAGTAGAGAAAGCTAAAGCTACAAGGGAAAAGAAGAAAAACAAAAAGGCCTAAAAATAATATAAGCTTGGACGCACAGCTATCACACACACAAACATATATTATAAAGGCCTGATTCCATGGGTGCTTTTTTCCGGCGAAATGCGAATAATTTCGCCTGTTTCTTTTTAATTGCGACCAGTCGAATAAATTATTTCTAGTTGATTGCTCACAATTCAAAAGAAACGGGCTATATATTTTGCAATTCGCTCAAAAAAAGTGTCTGTGGGCACCTTTAGCTATTTTGGTTCATATTTAGAGTTTATGTACCTATCAATGTTAGGCCGGCAGGGGGGGAGGCGGGGCAAGGGGGGGAGGCGGGGCAAGGGGGGGATTTGACATTCAAAGCAAATTTTGTGTCAAATTCCCTACCCCAGGGATTCAAGTGCTGGTCAAATCGATCGTACCCAGGGGCAATTAAAACTGTTTCAAAGAGATTTCTCAAACTGAAAAATTCATAAAGGAAGTATATTAATTAAGTCTGTTTTTTGAAATCATAGGAAGATTACAGACATTTTTTGCCAAAATTTATTCTAGAATTTCTTTTGAAGTATGGATTTGTTTGAGAAGGCATATCCAACAATTGCAAATGTATTTCCTATGATTTGTAAATATGGACAATTGCCTCATATATTCAACCTGCTTGTCCATATATCGGAGGGAAAACACTTGTTCATGTTGAATATATTACGTGAAACATAAATACAATTTAATTTTTGAAATAATTTAAACAAAGCGGTTAATATTATAATATCCACATCTTGACAAAAAAATGTTCGTATTCTATTATTTATATTGCTTTAAGAGAAGTGCAATACAAGACCAAAAAAGTTTCATTTGTGATGAATATTAAAAAGAGAAAAATCAACAGTTTATATCAGTTTCAGTAGTCCCCGCCATTTTCCAGAACTGACGACACATGATTTGGTGGCAAAATTTATCCCAGATGTTCCAGAGATCCCACTGCATCCCTGCTAATTATATATGCAAATGACAACAAATTTTTAAAATTTGTCAAATACCCTTGCCCCCAGGACTGTACTGATTGTCAAATTCCCCACTCACGGGATATACTTTCCCATCAAATCCCTTGCCCCGCCTCCCCCCCACCCCCCCCCCTGCCGGCCAAACATTGATAGGTGCATTAGATTTTAATCATGTTTTTGCAGTCTCAATACTGCCTTCATATAACTGTGGATGTATATATTTTGTGCAGAGTGTCCATATTAAAAATGTTTTTCGTTTCATATTTTGAGGTATTGCCACCTTTTTATATGCAGGAATGGATTATTTATTTGATAGTGTTTTATTCAGTACAAAAAATGCCACCAGAGCTATGCCTATAGTGCACATACATTTATCAGAATACCACAAAACATAACAGGGTATTTTGGGCCCGTATATAGTAATCCAAATTCTTAATTTCAAATGCCCCGCCCCCGGGCAAAGGTTTCAGTTCAAATGTCCAACCCCCGGGACGTGCTTTATAGGAAAATGCCCCGGGGGGGGATCGGCACGTTTGGATTTGACTGATGCATAAACACCAGATCACTTGGAAAATCTTGAAGCAAGCGAAACCATACGACCCTGCCACTAATAGATGTAATTTATATTTATGTGAAAAATATTTTATAATTAACAAACCTCAACTCTCCACTTTAAACAAACATAATGAACTTGTTTCCGTGTGCCGGCATGCAAGTAATTTTATCCTTAGAAATTTCATAACATAGAACAATAGACTTTTTAATTAGAAAATTTTGGATAATAGAGCTATTTTATAGTTAACAAAATTTCACCTCTATCAGCATAATACCACCTTAAGGACTATACAACTTCCTGTTTTTCACCATATATACATGTTATTAGTATTTTAGCATTTTAGTCCGACGAGTGCAGCCAGTCTGTACGAAACTATTTAGTAACTAAATAAATATGCTATTTTGAATAGATTGGTTTCATTCAATTTTATCGAAGCTCTGGACAAGCTCCATAGAGCACTTTATGAATATATTTATCTGCAACCAGCATATATATATACATATATATTAAGATGAAAATGTTCTTGAGTGTGTATTATATCATTTCCATACCCAGCGTAAGCAGAAAGATTAAGTCTGCCGCGGCTGGGTCTTGAACCCGCGACCTTCGAATTACTAGATCGACGC